CTGGAGCTGCTATCCCATTTGGCCGTATATACTCCCTTTCTGAGCCTGAATTGAAAGCACTTCGTGAATACATACAAGAAAATCTTGCCAAAGGCTTTATTCGACCATCCACTTCTCCAGCAGGAGCTCCTATATTCTTTGTAGAAAAGAAAGAACATCCTTTACACACACACACACACACACACACACACACACACTGCTTCTCTTATGCACACACAGAAACACAATGCATCTCTTACACACACACTCAATGCACCCCTTACAGACACACACTGCATCCCTTACATACACAGAAACACACCTTGCATCCCTTAAACACAACCAGAAACACACAATACATCCCTTACACACAAACACACACTGCTTTCTATCCCTTACACAAAAATACACTGCATCATCTACACAAGCTGGTATCTCTATACACTACATTCCATAAGCACACACTTTAGATCCTCTACACTAACACGTAACACATCCCCTACACACTCCACTGCCTGTGAGCGAACTCATAGGTGGAACATGTAGGTGGACTTATGGGTGGGCCTTATGGGCATACTTGCCGTCAGGCCCTGGGGGCTCAGACCTTAAGCTATGCAAGGGGCCCCAAAAGATGGAGCTGCTTCACGTTCCCCCAGAACATTGACTTTTGTGACCACAGTTACAAACAGCCGCCAGGGAGCCTGTTCTACACCAGACCAGTGGAGCCAGACTGCAACCCATCATCTTCACTTGTTTGTAGGCAAGTAGGCAATCTAGTATATTATTCGTGGCACTAATCTCTAATTTATCTCACATTAAAGGGACACTATAGTCCCCAGAACCACCGCAGCTTAATGTAGTGGTTCTGGTGTCTATAGCCTGTCTCTGCAGGCTTTTTAATGTAAACACACACTGTGTGCAGCACTGGCATTATTTCATATGGCAGATCATATGGGTGGGGCATTGTGATGTCACATGGGGGTGGCAAATTTTTCTTTTGCCTAGGGCGGCAAAAATTCTTGCACCGGCCCTGTCTTCATGGGCCGGCTGGGGAGATCTCTTGATCTCCCCTGTTGGCTTCGGCCCATGGTCATTGTGGGCCATCGGAATTTGCTCTGTATGCCCGATGGCCAGTTGGCCCTACCTCCAGCTCAAAGATGAGCCTACCGATATCTGCGATACCTACGATCACATCAAACAGAGTCAGTTGTTTTATACATAGCCTCCAAACAAGAGCCTATAGACACCTTTACAGGACTATTCATTAAATTGAACATTTAAAGTGAACAGTTTTAAGGTCAAAATAGTCAAACTGGAAAAGTTCTCTTATTCATCTGTGCTTCCAGTTCGGCTACTGTGGCCTTAAATTTGAAATTCACTTTGAATGCTCACTTTAGTGAATGTTGTGAAATGCGGTATCCATTTCCCTGATGTTAAAGGGAAACTGACATCACTTCCCTGTCACAATCTCCTTACAAAGGTAAATGTTACACTTCTATAACACCCACCTCTGGTCTGCCCGTGCTTCTCCTCTGATTTTTGCTGATATACCCTGCCACACACCCAAGCAAAGCAAACCTCCTCCATGATGCCAACATGCTGGCTTCATTGCCAGCAAGCCAGCCTCTAAGTTGAGTGATGTCATGTCACTCTGTTCCTATACTCCCTAGCCAGCACTAGCAGTGCCAGCTAAGGAGTAACCAGTGCAACCACAAGTAAACTACAAGCCAGTGGACAACTCATACGTAAAAAATTTACGGATAATGTATATCCCAATTAAGAGGATAGGCAAACAACACACAGATTGGCCCATCATAAAACACTCCTGTGGGCATTGAAGCAATAATATGCACTGCAATATTGATGCTGAAGTAATTTCCATGAATAACAAAGAATCATGCCTACATGGGTAAAGCGCAAATGCCAGACGCAATGTGCTATTATCCTGAGAATTTATGATAAGATTCCATAAAACTGAAGAAAATGGAGTGTTATTAGAGAATATAGTGAGAAAACAAATTGAGTGGAACTACAAATAGACAACTGTCATTAAAACTTTTATTATCACACTATTAAAAACTCAAACTGTATTATTACCAAGTATCCAACATACTGAAAAAATAAATATATCACAAAAACTGCAAAGATCATAAAAGGTGATTTAAAAAGACCTGCTAGACAACTCACAATTAGTGTCTTATACATAGAAAGTG